GGAATACTTTTACACCGTTGGTGGGAGTATAAACTAGTTCAACCATTGTGGAAGACAGTGTGGTGATTCCTCAAGGATATAGAACTAGAAATACACAGATACAGAAAATCAAACACCGCATATTCTCACTCATAGTGGGAGTTAAACAATGAGAACACATGGACACCAGGGGGTGGGGGTGGGCATCACACACTGGGGACTGTCAGGGGGTGGGGAGCTGGGGGAGGGATAGCATTAGTAGAAATACCTAATGTAGGTGATGGGTTGATGGGTGCAGCAAATCACCATGGCACGTGTATACCTATGTAACAAAACTGCATGTTCTGCACATGTACCCCAGAACTTAAAGTATAATTTTTAAAATTACATGAAAAAAATTACATGAATTACAGAACTTAAAGTATAATTTAAAAAATTACATGTCTTTGCTTCATTTTTCATGTTTTTGAAACATAATCTTGCTGGGTATACAATTTTGTTTTGAAAAAATAAAACAAAAAAAATAGTTACTCTTGAAATTTTTCCATACATATATAATTTAAGAAAGTCTAAAGCTGATATCTGGATGCTTGTCCTGTAGAATACAAGGACCTTAAAAAACTTAAACTTTGACCTGGTGCAGTGTCTCACTCCTGAAATCCCAGCACTTTGGGAGGCTGAGGCGGGTGGATCACGAGGTGAGGAGATCAAGACCATCCTAGCCAACATGGTGAAACCCCATCTCTACTAAAAACACAAAAATTAGCTGGGCGTGGTGGTGCACACCTGTAGTCCCAGCTACTCGGGAGGCTGAGGCAGGAGAATAGCTTGAACCTGGGATGCGGAGGTTGCAGTGAGCCGAGATCATGCCACTGCACTCCAGCCTGGGTGAAAAAGCAAGACTCTGTCTCAAAAAACAAAAACAAAAACAAAAACCTTAAACTTCAATCATCCTTCTTGGCTTATAAAAGCTTTCGTTGTCTTACATTTTAGTTCAGTTCTCTATTTTAAGCCTAAAAAGAAGCTATTGGCCAGGCGTGGTGGCTCACACCTGTAATCCCAGCACTTTGGGAGGCTGAGGTGGGTGGATTGCTTGAGTCCAGGAGTTCAAGATCAGTCTGGGCAACATGGCAAAACCTTGCCTCTACTAAAAAATACAAAAATTAGCCAGGCATGGTGGCACGTGCCTATAATCCCAGCTATACTGTATTCCAGCTTGGGCAACTGGAGTGAGACCCTGTATCAAAAAAGAAAAAAAAAAAAATGGAGCTATTATTACTACGACCTTATACAAATAATGCTAGTTTAGATTTTGCCTGCAGGCTCACTACCCCTCTTTGCATTTCACACCGTCTTTCTCAGATCATTCTCCTTCCTTCTGAAGGACATCCTTTAGTTGTTCCCTTAGGGCTGTGCCTTTGATAGTAAACTCTTGGTGTTTGTTTTTATAAAAATGTCTTTGCTTCATTTTTCATGTTTTTGAAACATAATTTTGCTGGGTACACAATTATAGGTTGATAACTTTTTGGCACTTTGAACATATTACTCTATGTATTCTGGTTTTTACTGTTGCCTTTGAGACATTTATTCTTAGTCTAATTAGGTTGTCAATTTTTGCAAGTAATCTGTCTGTTTCTCTCTGGCTAAAGACCTCCTTGTCTTTGGTGTTCTGTAGCTTAACTATAATGTGTATAGGTGTGGATCTTGTTTGTCCTTGTTTGGTCTATTTTGTGCTCATCTCTGTGGATTCATGCCTTTCATCACTTCTGGAATATTCTCAGTCATTTTCTCTATGAATATTGCTTCTGTTCCATTCTCATTGTTCTCTCCTTCTGGAACTCCTATTAAATGTATTTAGCACATTACATTTTATTGTCCACATTTATTTTCTGTCTTCTTTCTATAATTTTTGAGTTATATCTTCAGATCTATCTTCCAGTTCACTAATATTCTCTTCATTTTTCTCTAAACTTCCATATATGCATATGTATGTATATGTAATCTGTCTTTATTGACATATAATTCACCTCCCATACAATTATCCCATTTAAAGTGTACAAGTCAAGCCGGGTGCGGTGGCTCACACCTGTAATCCCAGCACTTTGGGAGGCTGAGGTGGGTGGATCACCCGAGGTCAGGAGTTTGAGACCAGCCTGGGCAACATGGTGAAACCCCCATCTCTACTAAAAATATAAAAATTAGCCAGGCATGGTGGCACATGCCTGTAATCCCAGCTACTTGGGAGACTGAAGCACGAGAATCTCTTGAACCCAGGAAGCGGAGGTTGCAATGAGCCAAGATGGTACCACCACACTCCAGCCTGGGTGACAGAGCTAGACTCTGTCTCAAAATAAATAAATAAATAAATAAATAAATAAATAAATAAATAAAGTCTACAATTCAATGGTTTTTAGTAGATGCACAGAGTTATGTAACCATCACTACAATCAATTTTAGAATCCTTCTATCACTCCCAAAAGAAACCCCATATTCATTGTCACTCCCCATTTCCCCACCACCTTCCTCCTCTTCATCTACCCTAGAAAACCGTTAATCTTCTTTTTGTCTCAATAGATTTGCTTAATCTGGACAATTAGGTAAGTGGAATCTTACCATATGTAGTCTTTTGTGACTGGTGCCTTTCATTTACCATAATTCTAACCTGCCTTTTAAATCATTTGTTAAATTTTTCACCTCAACAATTGTGTTTTAAATTTCTGTAAGTTTTAATTTCCTTTTCAATTTACCTGATCTTTTCATCGTCTTTTTGCTTACTTTTGTGATTCTATCTTTAAATATTTCATATGTAGTTATGCTATTTTCTGATCATTCTTGTAGCTGAAGTCCTTGAGCTTCTAAATCTGCTTCTGCTGATTTTTACCCATGGTAGTTTGCTTCTCTGTATACTTGGTGATCTTTAATTGGAAACTGACATTTAGTTCATCTTAATTTGTGAAAAATCAGAGGTTTTCATTCAAGAGAAATTGCACAAGCTTCTGCAGGAGTCAGGGTGCTTGAGACCACAAGGTCCCTTAAGGGACTGACTTAAAGAAAGGTCAGACCACAAGGTCCCTCAAGGGTCTGACTTAAAGAAAGAGCCTTGGTGTCATCTCCACCCCACCTTGCTGCTCACAATGCTGATCATGAAATTCACCCTCACCTGTGTATGTGTGCTAACCACTCACTCACCTCAACCTGAAGCTCTTGGTATGTGTGTATGTGTGTGCGTATGGCTAGGTGTATACATGCATGTGTATATAGGGGTGTATATGTGTGTGTACACATGTATATGTATGGGTGTGCATGTATGTATGTGTGTTGTGTGTGCATGTTGTATATGTATATATGCATGCATGTGTATATGTCTTCATGTGTTATGTGTGTGCATGTTGTATATGTATATATGTATACATGTGTGTATGCCTGTGTGTATTGTGTGTGTATGTGTTGTATGTGTATTTATGCATGTGTGTATGCATGTGTGTATTGTGTGTGTGTGTTGTATATGTATTTATACATGTGTGTATGCCTGTGTGTATTGTGTGTGTATGTGTTGTATGTGTATTTATGCATGTGTGTATGCATGTGTGCATGTGTGGGTATGTGTTTGGTCCTCAGCGCTGTTCTTTACCTTCTGCTTGGCCAGCCATGCACAGAGGCTCTATCTTACCCAGTGATATCTACCTTATCTGTGAATCATCAGAGACAGATCCTATTTGCCTGCAACTGAGAACCCTGACTCATGGACTAGCCATTTAGTAATAGAAGAATTATATCTGTGAGCACTGACAGAATGCCCCACCCAGTTCTAAGGGGTTTACATGTGTTAACTCCCTGAATCATCACACCTTCCCATTTCACAGATAAGAAAACTGAGACACAGAAAAGCTGGGTGACTTGTCTTGGGTCTCGCAGCTTGCAATTGTTGGAACTGGGAGCTAAACCCAGGAGGCTTGGCTCTTTTCCATTCTCATGACTGCAAAAAGAAATGGAAGGGTTCAGGATCATCCAGGATTTGGCAGAAAAGGTCCTGTTTTTTGAGGAACTGCCTGCAGACACACAGGAGCCCATGAAAGCCCCAAGCTGGCCTTTCTGGTATGTTGTGTGCAGCAGTGAGGCTTGGCAGTGGCTCTGGGATTCCCTCAGCATTTTCCTGGTTGAAAGAAACCTAAATTCTAACTCAGGAGTTGAGAGTTTCCTTGACTGCATCTGTACTGACAGCCTAGAAAACCGATGCTACAGCTGCTGCAAATGCATGGTACAAGTGGTTTTGCTGCATTTTCAAATTGACCGAGAAACTCAGAATAGACTAAAGACCCCACCTTGATCCAACAGAGGCATGAAATTGATGGCCAAGTGTGAATAAGCAGTTGGCGGTGTGTCACCTGAGTGACAGTTGTATGGGGACAGAGAGCAGACAAGTGCCCCAAGGAGAAGAGGCAGTTTCCTCCTCAAGGCCTGTCTGAGGTTGTGCTTTGTCCTAGTTGGCTACTTTCTTACAAATAAGCATGCTGTTTATGACAATAGACATTTATTAAGTGCTTACTCTGTGCCCAGGTGCTAAAATAGCTGCTTGTACAAAGTGGTTTTACATTACATACTTACCTCTTTGGATCCTCAGAACAACCCTGCAACATCTGCTCTATTATTCCCTCATTTCATGAATGAGAAAGCTGAGGCTGGGGGAAATGACTTTCCCGGGCCCCATAGCCAGACGGGACGCAGACAATAGAAACCTAGCTCTGGGCCAGCGAACCTGCTCTGGGGACACTCCCCATCCCTCCCAGGAGGGTCCCTTTAGGCCCCTTTCTTTATTTCAGAGGCAGGAGGGGCGTGAGGCAGTCAAGTCACAACCCAAGGGCCAAAAACAAGCTGTTCTCTCAGGGGCCCATGCACTTGTTTTTCCTCCCGCCCCTGCAGATCTGGTTACTGAGGGCCCTGCACGCTGGGGGTTTCTCAGCAGCCACAGAAGAAACTCACTGGGCGCTGAGCTCCTGGGTCTTGAGCTGCAGGGTTTTTACCTTCACTGCTTCCCAGCTGGAATTCACCAAGTGCTGCCGGAAGGGCCCAAAACCTGAAACCAAACATGCCTAGGTTTGCTTAAGCCAGACCTTGGGACTGGGGCCTCTACTCCTGGCTGCTCTCAAGCACCAGGCCCCACCCCATAAGACTCTCTTCCTGCTCCTCCGACCATCTTGGGCCCTAGGGATCTTTGCACGTCCCCTTTCCCATGGAGGCTGCAACTGTGCCAACCTGGGAGCATTCTCAGAGTCCTCATCTCTGAGGCATTGTTGGGGAGCAAAGAAAGAACATGGAGCTGACCCACTGCCAAGTTGGGAGGGCTTAAGAACATGTGTGCACAAATGTCTGAATAAAAAGCATGTTTTGTAGAGAACCCTGAAATAGACCCACATGAATACGCCCAATTGTTTGTTGACACAGGTGCAAAAGCAGTTTCAATGGAAGAGGGATAGGTTTGTCAACAAATGGTGTTAGAACAATCAGACAACAACAGGCAAAAAACTGAACCCTTCAACCTAAGCCTCACCCCTTACACAAAACTTAACCCAAATGAATAATGGACTTAAATATAAAAAGCAAAAGTAGCCGGGCACGGTGGCTCATGCCTGTATTCCCAGCACTTTGGGAGGCCGAGGTGGGTGGATCACCTGAGGTCAGGAGTTCGAGACCAGCCTGGCCAACCTGGCGAAACCCCGTCTCTACTAAATATACAAAAATTAGCCAGGTATGTGGGCACCTATAATCCCAGCTACTAGGAAGGCTGAGGCAGGAGAATCGCTTGAACCCGGGAGGCAGAGGTTGCAGTGAGCTGAGATTGCACCACTTCACTCCAGCCTGGGTGAAAGAGCAAAACTCTGTTTCAGAAAAAAAAAAAAAAAAAAAAAAAAAGCTATAAGTTTTTTTGGGGGAAGGTGAAAATCTTAGGCTATAAGGCTAGGCAAAGAGTTCTTAGATTTGAAACCAAAAGCAGGCTGCATAACAGGAATAATTAACAAACTGGATTCCATCAAAATTAAAAACTTTTGCTCTGTGACAGACCCTGTTAAGAGGAGGAAGAGATAAGCTACAGATGGAGAAAACAGTTGCAAATCATGTATTTCACCAAGGCTTTGTATATAAAATACATAAAGAACTCTTGAAACTCAGTCCAATTAGGAGATGGGCAAACCACATGAAGAGACATGTCATTGATGAGGATATACAGGTGACAAATAAGCACATGAAAAGATGTTCAACGTCACCAGCTATCATATAAATACATATTAAAATCTGGATGAGATGTCACCAACACTTATCAAAGTGGCTAAAATAGAAAGACTGATAACACCAAATGTTGACAAGGATGAGGAGAAACTAGGTCACTCACACATTGGTGGTGGGAATATAAAATGGTACTGTCACTCTGGGAAATAGTTTGACAATTTTGTTTTTTTTTTAATTGAAAGTAGATGTACCAGCATTTGCACTCCTGGACATTTATCTCAGAGAAACGAAAACTTATATTCATACAGAAGTGTATACAAAAATGTTCATAGAAGCTTTATTTGTAATAGACGAAAGCTGTAAACTACCCAAATGTTACTCAGTGGGTTAACAGTCATACAAATCAAGGTTCACCCATCTCATGGAATACACTCAGCAGTGAAAAAAAAAAGTAGAAACATCAAAATGTCCATTAACTGATGAACAGCAAACAAAATGCAGTAAAATGCACACAATGAAATATTATTTGTCAATAAAAAGCACCGAAGTACTGATACATCCTACCATGTGGATCAACCTTGAAAACATGCTAAGTGGGGCCGGGCGCGGTGGCTCAAGCCTGTAATCCCAGCACTTTGGGAGGCCGAGACGGGTGGATCACGAGGTCAGGAGATCGAGACCATCCTGGCTAACCCGGTGAAACCCCGTCTCTACTAAAAAATACAAAAAACTAGCCGGGCGAGGTGGCGGGCGCCTGTAATCCCAGCTACTCGGGAGGCTGAGGCAGGAGAATGGCGTAAACCCGGGAGGCGGAGCTTGCAGTGAGCTGAGATCCGGCCACTGCATTCCAGCCTGGGCGACAGAGCGAGACTCCGTCTCAAAAAAAAAAAAAAAAAAAAAAGAAAACATGCTAAGTGACAGAAGCCAGATGCAAAGGACCACACGTAAAATGACTCTGTTTATATGAAATGTCAGAATAGGCACATCTATAGGACATTAGTGGTTGCCAGAAGCTGGGTATGTGTGTTGTGGGGGGACATGAGTGGTGACAGCTAAGGCGTGTGGGGTTTCTTTTTGGGGTGCTGAAAATGTTCTAAAATTGACTGTAGTGATGAACATGTAACTCTGTGACTATACTGAGCCACTGATTGTTACTCGCTTTAAATGGGTAAATTGTGTAGCATGTGGATTATATCTCAATGAAGTAGTTTAAAAACTTTTTATAATGAAGTGACTATTGATACACACATCTTAGAGAACCTTAAAGAAATTATGACAAGTGAAAAAGAACCAATCTCAACAGGACATATACTGCAGATTTCATTTATATAATATTTGTGTTTTTTTCTTTATTTTTGCTTGTTTCCTTTTTGAGACAGTCTTGCCCTGTCACTCAGGCTGGAGTGCAGTGGTGCAATCTCAGCTCACTGCAACCTCCGCCTCCCGGGTTCAAGCAATTCTCCTGCCTCAGCCTCCTGAGTAGCTGGGATTACAGGCACCCACCACCACACCCAGCTAATTTTTGTATTTTTAGTAGAGATGGGGTTTCACCATGTTGGCCAGGCTGTTCTGGAACTCCTGGAACTCCTGACCCCACTCAGCCTCTCAAAGTGCTGGGATTATAGGCATGAGCCATCGCACCTGGCCCTATTTTTATTTATTTATTTACAGACAGGATCTCACTCTGTCACGCAGGCTGGAATGCAGTACCAGGATCATAGCTCACTGCAGCTTCAATCTCCTGGGTTCGAGTGATCCTTCCACCCCAGCCTCCCGAGTAGCTGGGACCACAGGTGCATGCCACCATATCTGGTTAATTTTTTGTATTTTTGCCATGTTGCCCAGGCTGTCCTTGAACTCCTGGTCTCAGGCTATCCACCCCTCTCAACCTCCCAAAGTGCTGGGATTATGGGTGTGAGTCATTGTGAGAGGTGACAACGTGCTAGCAGCCCTCACTCGCTCTCAGCGCCTCCTGGGCCTCAGCACCCACTCTGGCTGCACTTGAGGAGCCCTTCAGCCCTCTGCTGCACTGTGGGAGCCCCTCTCTGGGCTGGAGGAGTCCGAAGCCGGCTCCCTCTGCTTGCGAGGAGGTGTGAAGGAAGAGGCACCGCCAGGAACCCGGGCTGCGCACCACGCTCCAGGGCCAGCGCGAGTTACGGGTGGGCGCGAGCTCTGTGGCCCGCAGGCGGAGCTGCCCGCAGGCAGAGCTGCCCGCAGGTGCCGCCTCGCCGGGCAGCAAGGGGCTTAGCTCCCGGGCCAGCAGCTGCGGAGGGTGTGCCGGGTCCCCCAGCACTGCCGGCCACCCCAGCACTGCCGGCCCCCGCACCACACTTGAGTTCTCGCCAGGCCTCAGCTGCCTCCCTGTGGGGCAGGGCTCCCGACCTGCAGCCCCGCCATGCCGGAGCCCCCACACCGGTGGGCTCCCGCACAGCCCGAGCCCAAGGGCTAAGGAGTGCGGGTGGGCAGCTGCGGGACTGGTAGGCAGCTCCCCCTCCCCGTGGCCCCTACTGGGGATCCACTAGGGGAAGCCAGCTGGGCTCCTGAGTGGGGTGGGGACTTGGAGAACTTTCCTGTCTAGCTAAAGGTTTGTAAATGCACCAGTCAGCACTTTGTGTCTAGCTCAAGGTTTGTAAAGGCACCAGTGCTCTGTGTCTAGCTAATCTAGTGGGGACTTGGAGAACTTTTGCGTCTAGCTAAAGGATTGTAAATGTACCAATCAGCACCCTATCAAAACGGACCAATCAGCTCTCCGTAAAATGGGCCAATCAGCTCTCTGTAAAATGAACCAATCAGCAGGATGTGGGTGGAGCCAGCTAAGGGAATAAAAGCAGGCTGCCAGCGCCAGCAGTGGCAACCCGCTTGGGTCTCCTTCCATGCCATGAAAGCTTTGTTCTTTGCAATAAATCTTGTTGCTGCTCACTCCGTGGGTCCATGTTTCCTTTATGAGCTGTAACACCATGAAGGTCTGCAGCTTCACTCCTGAAGCCATGGAGACCACGAACCCACCAGAAGGAAGAAACTCCGGACACATCTGAACATCTGAAGGAACAAACTGCGGACACATCATCTTTAAGAACTGTAACACTCACGGTGAGGGTCTGCAGCTTCATTCTTGAAGTCAGCGAGACCAAGAACCCACCAATTCCAGACACAATCGTACCCAGCCTACATAAAATATTTGTAAAATAAAATGATTATACAGATGGAGAACAGACTAATGGTTGCCAGGTGTTTGAGATGGGAGGAAGGGGGTGGGTGTGGCTGTAAAGAGCTAGCACCAGTGAGCTTTGTGGTGATGGTACTGCTATGTATCTTGATTGTGATGGTGGTTATAGGAAGCTACACACGAGATGAAACTACACCCTGCATGCACATACAAATTTTGAATTATACCAATGTCAATATCCTGGCTTTTACATTGAAAATGTTAATATGTCAATATCAGGAGAGGCTGGGTAAAGGGTATAGGGGACCTCTCTGTACACTTCTTTGCAAATTCCTATGAATATTTCAAAATAAAAAGTTTTAAAAACTATGTGGCCTCCTGTGTGGGAGACTAGCCAGTGCCAGATATGCCTGTGACGGAGTGGGGTGCTCAATTAGGTGGGCTGCAGATACAAGTGGAATTCTCTAACTCAGCTTTATCCTGGAGCACAGCTGAGGTTTTGTTCCATCTCTGATTCCTGTGACACATATCTCAATTCATTCAAACTCTTAAATGAGGAAAGGGCTGTGATTAAATGTCAGTCTCTGAAAACCTAGCTCCCTGGACCTCAGGCCTTTAGAGTAGGAACCAGTTCTGGAGAGAAACTTGAATTATGCCTTTGCAATTCCTGAACAGCGGGGTCTGGACCCACAAACAGGGTTGACTCATGAGGGGGTAAAAACGTTCTCAGGGAATGAAAAAGTTTTGGACAGGACGTCCCCAAAAGCCCATGGTGTCCTCTGATTTGGCCAAATCCTTTAGAATAAATAAGACTTCAGCTGCCTCTGGAAACAGCCAGGAAAAAAAAAAAAAAAAAAAGCAGTTATAGAAAATGGTGAGATTAAGAAAAAAAAGCACTGAGAAGCCAGGTACCTCCTGGGAAAATAAAAATGCAGTAACACACAAAAATCACATCCTGCTTTAGAATCATATTTTTATCAGCAAATATGACATCTCTTATCTGTTTTAAATTAGAAAAATCAACTCTGCAAGTGAAGGTTTGAAGCTTTTATGTTGCAGGGTCAAACCTCACTTTAAACTTGTCGGCCCCCCAGTGGAACTTGCAAAAGGAGCAGGAGAAATCTCTTAGAATTCTGAGAGGCCCATGGGAGGGATGCATGCTTTCTCACTCTTGTTATTGTTGGTGCCAGTCTGAACACCTTGATCTCGAAGCAATTTATCAGAGCCCTGGTTCTCCCACCATCTGTCTACATGCCAATTGTCTTGGTAAGATTTACACACGAAGCAAACCCAATTAAATGAAGAGACTGCCCCTGGCAGCTCAAAGCATTTCTAACACAGGAAGGCCATGCTCTGGAATCCAGCGGGCATTCTCAAATCGCGGCTGATTATCAGCTACTTCATCAAACAATCTCCAGTTTGCCAGCAAACCACAGGCTGACAAGACAAAGGCAGGGGTCAGTGTGGTTCTAAGATGGTGCTTCAATGTCCGTATTTCATTCATGACAAGCACTGCATGTAGAGGAGTACAGTTTCCTTAGGAATTCAAGAGTAATTTGAACCATTCAATCTCCAGAACCAAAATAACACAAATAAGAGCAAGGGAGTTAAAGGTTTCCCAAATAACTTTCTTTTTCTCAGAAAGTCAACAGGAGTTTGAATTATAGTCTGAAAAAATTAAGCGACACAACTTTCAATTTCCCATTCATCCAGGAAACCCTGTCTCTTCATCCAACACAATTCAGAAAACTTAAAACTGGCCAAATGTGTCTAACTAAAAATGAAGGCTGGACACGATGGCTCATGCCTATAATTCCAGCATTTTGGGAGGCCAAGGCGGGAGGATCACTTCAGCCAGGGAGTTAAGACATCAGTCTGGGGAATACAGGAAAACCCTGTTTCTACTAAAAACTAAAAATACATTGTGGGATGTGGTGGTGAGTGCCTGTTGTCCCAGCTACTCCAGAGGCTGAGGTGGGAGGATTACTTGAGCCCAGGAGTTTGAGGCTGCGGTGAGCTATGACTGAGTCACTGCACTCCAGCCTGGACAACAGAGGGAGACCGTCTCAGAAAAATTAAAAATACAAAAATAAAAATAGGGCCAGGCGTGGTGGCTCATGCCTGTAGTCCCAGCACTTTGGGAGGCTGAGGTGGGCAGATCACGAGGTCAAGAGATCGAAACCATCCTGGCCAATATGGTGAAAACCCATCTCTACTAAAAATACAAAAATTAGCCGGGCGTGGTGATGGGTGCCTGTGGTCCCAGCTACTTGGGAGGCTGAGGCAGGAGAATCACTTGAACCTGGGAGGCGGAGGTTGCAGTGAGCCGAGATTGGGCCACTGCGCTCCAGCCTAGTGATAGAGTGAGACTCTGTCTCAAAAAAAAAAAATTAATAAAAATAAAGAGCTTTGTGAAGATCAGACCCCCAGGGTCCCGCTGGGATGCTGACTTGGTGAGGCACATGTGGGTGGGGGTGACTTTGGATGCACTGGTGTTTGCAGAAGTGAGCAGCCACCATTCCTTCCAAGTCGACCTTCTGGGGCTCAGGGTCTCCAGCTAATGGCTCTGAGAGGGTGCTTCAGAGCTCCCTGAGAAATGGAAGCTCTCACTCTGGGAGCGGGGCCTGTGTGTTCTTTTGCGGGTGGCCGTTGTAGAGGGGCTTGCAAGCCTTGTGAGGGCCCTGTGGCTTCTGGGCCTACAGATTCCTCTTCCTTGCTATGAGCCTGCACCCCCAAGGGATACCTCACTTGCCTCAGGCCCCACTCAGGGAAAGCAGGTACCAGCCTCAGCTTCCTCCCTGCTGGGTTGAAAGGCAAGGTCGGAGCCTAAGCCACCAGCGGCACCTTCGTGCGTGCCACTCAAGAGTTATTTGAAGCGAATGAGCCACAGAAGCAGAAATGCCTGTGTTCCTGATTGTTTATTAATGGGGCACAGCAGGAAGTTCGTTTCCATCTGGAATTAGCAGCACCACCAGTTGCCACTCTTTTTTCCCCTCAGGGAACTGTTTAAGACCCAGGATCAAGCCAGTGCGCATTCCAGAGCCAGGCTAAAAGCAGCAACAAATAGGAGAGAAAAAAATTATATAGTCTTACCAGTCACCACCACGCAGCTGGGCTGGGAATCCATGAAGACGAAGTGGGAGCTCGCTCTGTGCTTCCTGGGTCAGGCGGCTGCCCAATGGCCGGGCTCTGTGCTCTCTGAGCTCCGGCGTTTCCTCCGCCTGGCCGCGTGCTGGCCTGGGGAGGGGAGCCGCTATGGAGCGGGAGCCCAACCCCTCCTGGCCGCCGGGCTTCCGTAGCGTTCTGAGCCCCGAAAGGCCAAGGATCTGGGGGAGAGTGTTAAGGCGATGCCCCTTCAAAGCAGAACGATCCAGCTCAGGACAGCGGGTCGGAGCGCCAGCAGGGACTTTCTGGACATTTGGGCGTGGGTCAGTTTGTTGTTCAGGATGGTTCAAAGGTGAGCTAAGGGTTTGGCCACCAGCTGTCCCGGTTTGCCTGGGATGGAGGGGTGTCTGGGACGGGTAGAACGTGCTCAAAGGGGTACCGTCCTGGGCACTGTGGGCTACCCTACAAGTCGTTTATTTAGATCTTATTTTTTCCTCTTTAGTAATCCCCGCTCCCTGCCAGAGCCCCTCGTTGTGTTTGGCCATTGTGATTTGGTAAAATTTGATTGCTCTGGAAACTCATTCCACAAAATACGTTACATGTGAGCAGAAGAAAAAAAAAAAAAGAAGAAGAAGAAAAGAAAAAGAAAGAAAACAAAACCATAGATGAATCTTACCGCGCCTGCCTTTAAAATATTGATTGAAATCTCTGCTGCTGTGGGTCCTCAGGGAAGTTAACCTCTGTGCTCAGGTTTCCTGTTTTGGGAAACAAGGATCACAGCACCGGATCATGTATGGATTCTTTCTGTGCCCCAGGCACTGTCCCCAGCTTCATCAGCCCTGAGGGACAGAGGCTTGCCACCTAGTTAGTGTCTGTGCAGGCTTGGTAGCTCTGCACTCACCACCCTGCGTTCTGCCTGCGAAAAGTGCTTGCTTGACACTCTGCTGGACTCCTTAAATGTGCCACTGACAGTGAGGCACAGCCGTGGCATGCCACCTGGCTCTGCAGACAGTCCTCCTCTTTTTGTGTCAGAATAACTGAAAAAACTAACATTTGGGGCTATCCCCTCTACTGAAGAAGCTGTTATGCAACATCTTGATCTTTCAGAGAATACTATTAAAAAACAAAACAAAACAGAACAAACTTTTGGCCAGGTGCACTGGCTCATGCCTTTAATTTCAGCGTTTTGAGAGGTCAAGGTGGGAGGATAGCTTGAAGCCAGAAGTTCAAGATCAACCTAGGCAACATGGCAAGACTGCATCAATTAAATTTTTTAAAAAGTGGTGTGTGCCCGTAGTCCTGGCTACTTGGGAGGCTGAGGCGGGAGGATCACTTGAGCCCAGTCAAGCATGACTGCACCTCTGCACCCCACCCTGGGTGACAAAGCGATACCCTGTCTCTAAAAATATTCTTAAAATTTTTTTTTCTTAAGTAAAAATACTATTTTTCAAAAGCTATATAGTAAGAGGAAGAAGAGCCATAATTCTCTGTTCCCATCTAGGCCTGGGTAGGAGAAGCTCCCTTCAGGAAAGCAGGCAGAGCCTCTCAAGCACCGTGCGGCCTCTAGAAAGCTCAGTGTGACAGCAGGACCACGTAGCTGCATCTTCTGAATTGTCCTCCTGATATAAAGCGCTCCCTTTTAATTGGGATCACCTCCAGGGATTAGACCCCACTTGATGGCTTTCTAGGATTCTGAACCAGGCTCAGTTCCCTTTAATTGGCTCCTGGTGTGGGCTGCAGGCTTTTTTACAGCCAAGAACAGGTGGGAAGTGCCATTTGCTCCCATTGGTCTCCCACTCCCTGCCCTGAGAAGCTGGGGCCCACCTTGTGTTGAGTGGGATGCAGAGGACTTTGGACTTGCCTTATTTCACAGAAGTTACCCAGTTTCTCACATTCCCTGAGGCACTTGTGGACTTGGTCTCAACCTTCAGCTCTCCTGGCTCCTATCACTTACCTAGTTCCATCATGGGGGCTTGGCTTCCCCTGCGCTGTTAAAGGAAGAGATTGGGCCATTAAGAAATGCCCACATTTGGTGTTTTTGTTTGTTTGTTTTTGAGATGTAGTCTAGCTCTGTTGCCCAGGCTGGAGTGCAGTGGCGTGATCTTGGCTCACTGCAACCTCTGCCTCCCAGGTTCAAGCAATTCTCTGCCTCAGCCTCCCGAGTAGCTGGGGTTATAGGCACCTGCTACCACTCCTGGCTATTTTTTTGTATTTTTAGTAGAGACAGGGTTTGACCATCTTGGCCAGGCTGGTCTTGAACTCCTGACCTCATGATCCACCTGCCTCAGCCTCCCAAAGTGCTGTGATTACAGACATGAGCCACCATGCCCAGCCAGAAATGCCCACATTTGTGAAGTTGGTTGCTGCTAGGGTCCAACTCTACTATCAACATTCACCGATGAGGTCTGGGAATGGGAACTTGTGTTTAAGCAGACTCCCTAAGTGCTAAGACTGCCCGTCTTTAACCATACTACTTTTCTGATAACAAAGCTGAAATTTTCATCATTACTATTTTTTTGATTTGACATGAGCTACTCTTATTTTAACTAAACTGGAATGTGTCCTGGAGTTTTCACTTTCCTGTAATTCACTTATTATTTTTCTGTTCTGAAACTTTCTCTAATTTTGAAATTAATAGAAAAAGAAAACAACAGATATAAAATATTTTACTTAGTCACAGCGATATGTCTATTTGTGTATTCATTCACCTCCCCTCTCCCCACACAAGAAACTCCCAGCATAGTCCTACATTCTGGAATGAAAATAGCTCCAAAAAGTATGGATTTTGAGGTTCAACATCTGCACTTTTCTTTCTTTTTCCATTGTAAAAACAAATGGTCTCTAATAATTGATGTCAAACACAGTCTTCAGGCCGATGAAATACAGTAAGCCTGAGAACGAATAAGGGAACTAAATGGAGCTGTTTTATTTAACAGAAAGCACAGTGATCTTCCTTACAAGCTGGATTCCCGAGAGGAAAATGTTTGTAATCAGATTTGACTCTAGGATTAACAGGGCAAGGTGCAACCCTCTTAGTGAACCGAAAAGTAAGCAACAGTACACAGGTGTTCTCATCAGGGACAGCAAATGGGAGTTGCCAAGATTACAAGATCCCAAGACCTAAACTATTTCACGTGCTGAACTAAACTCAGAACTTTGTGGGATTTGTTTTAAATTTCTCATTGGCAAGTGGTAACTTCCTGCTCTAGCAAGAAAAATGATTAAAGGGGTTTGTTTACTGTCTCTGACACAAACAGCTCTAACAACACGTTTTGTACACTTGACATAAATGAAATTTAATCAAACTGGTCAAAATCCTTTGGGAGGTGGGGAGAAAATAAATCAATCAGCAAGAAGCACTTGTGATTTCCAAAATAATGATAACGTAAGTCTTTCTCTATGTCTAACATCACTGTTTCCAGATAAGTGACTTAGCTCTACTGCAAAACACAACCCATGGCCAAATTGCTTCTGGTCAAAGCACTACGGGATCCTCCAATAATATCACTCTAGCAAGGCAGCGTTCAGAACTCACCCTCCCCTACACCTCTGCCTCTGCAGCTTTGTACCCCAGCAGGGGCCAGCCAGCACACGATTTCTGAAAAGGGCCAGAAAATAAATGAATAAATGTAGTGGGCTTTTGCTTTTTTTTTTTTTTTTTTTGAGACAAGGTCTCACTCTGTGGCCCAAGCTGGAGTGCAGTGGTGCAGTCTCGGTTCACCGCAACCTCCGCCTCCCGGTTCAAGCAATTCTCATGCCTCAGCCTCCTGAGTAGCTGGGATTACAGGTGTGCACCACCACACCCGGCTAATTTTAGTAGAGACAGAATTTCACCATGTTGGCCAGGCTGGTCTCAAACTCCTAACCTCAAGTGATTTGCTTGCCTTAGCCTCCTAAAGTGCTGGTATTACAGGCGTGAGCCACTACACCCGGCCCACACTGTAGGCTATGTGGGCCAGTTGCAACTTGGCTGTTGTGGCGTGAAAGCAGCAATAGATAATATGTAAGTAAATGGGTATGACTGCATTCCAATTATTATTTATGGATGCTGAATTTTGAATTTAATGCCAATGTGTCATGGATTTTGTGTCTTTGGATTTTTTCAGCTATTTACAAGTGTAGAAACTATTCTTATCTCTCAGGCTGTACAAAAACGGGCAATGGCTACATTAGGGCTGTGAGCTGTCATTTGCAAAATCTTTCACTTGAATATTTCTCTTATAGGGCACATGATATGGCTGCTGATATGGTGACCTTATGGTATACAACTAACAAATATTCAGTTAAATGAGTAAATAGATTATAATTAAAATGGAAACAAGAACTAAAAGTGATTCTGAATATTTCATCAAAAAACTCATTGCTTTCCCTTTTTTGTTAAGTTCATCCATTGTTAGAAGAGCATTCTGAAGAGACATGGCCAACATTTTTGTTTTCAAAATTATACTATTTATGATGTGTACTAGGAATTAACAGAAGCAGTTAGTACAATTAATTTTTTACAAAAAAAAATTTACAAACAATTTTTTCCTGGTACAATTAATTTGTTAAAAATTTGGTAAGAACTTTCTCCCACCCCCCAGCACTCCAACCAGGATGTGAATGTGCTGATTGTTGAAGGTGGGATCTGGCTGCTGTGCCCAGGTAGGTTAGGAACCTGAAGCTCTAATTCATCTTCTTGGAGGTATTGGACACTGTACATTCATGTTTTTAAACTTTATACTAAAGCATGCTTCTCAAATGCTTACACCATTTACTTCTTTTAAAATTAAAAACTTGAGGCTGGGTGCAGTGGCTCATGCCTGTAATCCCGGCACTTTGGAAGGCTGAGTTGAGGCAGGCGGATCACTTGAGGTCAGGAGTTCAAGACCAACCTGGCCAACATGGTGAAACCCCATCTCTACAAAAAATACAAAAAATAGGCAGGTGTGGTGGCAGGTGCCTATAGTCCCAGCTACTCAGGAGGCTGAGGAAGGAAAATCGCTTGAGCCCAGGAGGCAGACGTTGCAGTGAGCCAAGATCGTGCCATTGCACTCCAGCCTGGGTGACAGAGTGAGACTCCATCTCAATCAATGAATCAATCAATAAAATTAAAAACTTGAGGCGAGGTATGGGGGCATGCTCCTGTATTCCCAGCTACAATAGGAGCTTCTCCCAGCTGTTGAGAGAAGATCGCTTGAGCCTGGGAGGTCAAGGCTGCAGTGAGCTATGATCTCTCCACTCCAGCCTGAATGGGAGGGCAAGACCCTGTCTCTAAAAATGAAAAAAATAAAAACTAAAAATGAAAAAGATGAGACTTTTATAACTTTTTGAAACAACCATTTCAAATGGTTTTAAAACCAGCAAGAAATTGGTATGCTAGGATAATCTTCAACATCCCATGGGAAACTGATATTGAAGATACTGGAATTTACAACCTCACCTATGAATTCTGAATTAATAGTTTTGAGAATGGATGTTTTAAAATTCCTGGCAGGACCAGGTGCGGTGGTTCGTGCCTATAATCCCAGCACTTTGGGAGGCTGAGGCAGGCAGATCACTTGAGGTCAGGAGTTCGAGACCAGCCTGGCCAACATCATGAAACCCCATCTCTATTTAAAATACAAAAATTAGCTGGGTGTAGTGGCACGCACCTGTAGTCCCAACTACCTGGGAGGCTGAGGCAGGCGAATCGCTTGAACCAGAGAGGCAGAGGCTGCAGTAAGCCGAGATAGCACCACTGCACTCCAGCCTGAGCGACAGAGCTAGACTCCATCTCAAGAAAAAAAAATTAAATTAAATTAAATTAAATTAAAAATAAAATTCCTGGCCGGGCACGGTGGCTCACGCCTGTAATCCCAGCACTTTGGGAGGCCAAGGTGGGCAGATCACAAGGTCAGGAGATTGAGACCATCCTGGCTAACATGGTGAAACCCCATCTCTACTGAAAATACAAAAAATTAGCCAGGCATGGTGGCAGGTGCCTATAGTCCCAGCAAATTAGGCAGCTGAGGCAGGAGAATGGCGTGAACCCGGGAGGCAGAGCTTGCTGTGAGCCAAGATCGCACCATGGCACTCCAGCCTGGGCAACAGAGCAAGACTCTGTCTCAAAAAGTACAGTACAATACAATACAATACAATTCCTGGCAGTTTTCTATGATATATCACAAGGTGATATTTCTGTTACATTTTGTAAGAGAAGGATTTGTCTTTATTTTTCTTCTGTCTTATATTTTTCCCTTAGATTTTTGCTAAGTCTTGATCACTTTTTTTTTTAGGGACTACAGCTCCTTGACTACAAAGTAACAACTGTTGCAAAAGGAAGTTTTCTACTTGTTAAAATCCAGTAGCTTGTTAGTCCTATTGTTTAAATACTGGATTTTTCTTTCAAATTTCACAAATATCTTAGGAATGACTGGAACATTTGTGTTCTTAACACTGAGGAAATCCTTGTGTAGACGAATGAGGCCAGATGGGAGGGTGCAGCAGAGAGCTTAATAGCCTCTTGGAATGGAAGGAGGGGGCCATATTAAAACATGCTCCAGGCCTTCCAGGGGCCCCTATTTTCCAGTATACACACATAAGAGGCATTTTTCTTTTTTCCTTGATTGGGGTCAAGGGTAATTTTTGTGTCAGAAGTGAGTGCTAAGTGGCTGAGTAGGTTTGAGAAAGGCTTAGAGATCCAACTTATAGACAATTCAATTATAATATTTATGATCACTGATTTTTAAAAATTACTGGACCTCTTCAAAAAGGTTGGATATGAGACTGGTATATACTGAAGCTAATAGCTTTCTCTTTTCAAAGCGATAGTGTCTCTCTCTGATGACTCACAGGCTGGAGTTGGAGTACAGTGGCACTATCAGAGCTCACTGCATCCTCAAACTCCTGAGCTCAAGAGATCCTCCCATCTCAGCCTTCTGTGTAGCTGGGACCACAGGTGTGTGCCACCATGCTCAGTTAATTTTTTAATTTTTTCTTTTTTGTAGAGATGGAGTCTTGCTATGTTGCCCAGGCTGGTCTTGAACTCTTGGCCTCAAACGATCCTCCTGCCTTGGCCTCCCAAAGTATTGGGATTATAGGTAGGAGCCACCTCTCAGGGTCTAAGAGTTTTCTTATATATCAGCAATAACTAACTCTAACGTAATTGGAAAAAAGAAAGAGCCCATCCACAATACCCTTCAAACAGAAATGTATGAGATCCCTTTGGGGAAGACTGTGGAACTGGCGGGGTGTGGTGGCTCATGCCAGTAATCCCAGCACTTTGGGAGGCCAAGGCAGGTGGATCACCTGAGGTCAGGAGTTCCAGACAAGCCTGGCCAACATGGTGAAACCCTGTTCTCTACTAAAAATACAAAAATTAGCCAGGTGCAGTGGTTCGTGCCTGTAATCCCAGCTACTTGGGAGGCTGAGGCAGGAGAATCGCTTGAACCCAGGAGGCGGAGGTTGCAGTGAGCCGAGATCGCACCATTGCACTCCAGCCTGCACAACAAAAGTGAAACTCTGTCTCAAAAAAAAGAAAGAAAGAAAGAAAGAAAATGGTGGGACTTTAGAAAAAAAAACATAGAAGACCCGAATAAACCAAAGGATGCTATGTTCTATAATGGGAAGATTCAAAACTTTTAAAATGTTAATGCAAACCGATGTTAAAGACTAGATGTAACTGGCTTGCCTTCCCAGATATCCAAATATATGCTAAAAGTTAGGGTAATTAAAATAGTGCAATATTGTTGTAGAAATAGGAAAACTGTCAATAAAATAGCTAGAATGTAAATGAGAATTTAATATACAGTTAAAGAGATAATTCAAAAATTAGTAGCAGAAAGAATATACCATTTAATGCTGTGGGAACCATAATATATAGCCAGATCCATTCCTTGTGCCATATAGGTCAGTAAATTCTGATTGGATTAAAATTCAAATCTGAAAATCAAGACAGTAAGAATGCTAGAAGTAAATTTAGAAGAATTATTTTCTAGTTTTGGAGTAGTTTCAAATTACTCATGCGAGACACAAAACTCAGAAACTAAAAGGAAAAGAGGAGGTATTTGACTAATACTGACTTTGGAAACAGGAGTTGAATAAGCAGCAGGGAACTTTTCAGTTCATTAGTCTGTATATATACTGTATACATGCACACACACATATTTTAAAGGAACTGTTCAGGCACTATACACGTAATTTTTTTTTTTTTGAGACAGAGTCTTGCTCTGTCCCCCAGGCTGCAGTGCAGTGGCGTGTTCTCGGCCCACCAGCACTCCCAGCTAATTTTTTTGTATTTTTAGTAGACATGGGGTTTCACCGTGTTAGCCAGGATGGTCTCTTATCTCCTGACTGACCGTGTTAGCCAGGATGGTCTCGATCTCTGACCTGGTGATCCACCCGCCTCGGCCTCCCAAAGTGCTGGGATTACAGGCGTGAGCCATGGCGCCCGGCCCCATACGTGTAATTTTTTAAAAACAAGAGAACTTTTAAAAATGTAAAAAAATGTACACCAAAAAATATATACTTCTTCATACATTGAAGCAATATATTTTACATTTTTACGGCAGACATTAATGAACCTTTAGTCCTGTGTGCCTGTGGCTGACTGCCACAAGTACTGCTTGAGACCATAACTATGACAGTTACTACTGTTACTACTTGAGACCGTCATTACAAGACTGAAGGAAGGCACAAACGTAGAAATGATAAAGGAAGGAAGGGAAGAAGGGAAGAAGGGAAGGGGAGGGGATGGGAGGGGAGGGAGGGGAGGGAAGGGAAGGGAAGGGGAGAAAGAAAGAAAGAGAGAGAGAGAGAGAGAGAGAAAGAAAGGAAGGAAGAAGGAAAGGAGGGAGGGAAGGGAGAAGGAAAGGAAGGAAGGAAAGAAGGAAGGAAAGAAAGAAGGAAGGAAGGAAGGAAGGAAGGAAGGAAGGAAGGAAAGAAAGAAAAAAGAAACTGTTTTAAAGGAAGGGGAAACGCGGAAGAAGAAGGGAGCGTCCCGCTTCTAGTTGGCAAAGGCAGCCCCCCGAGCTTCCACAGCCCTTCGTATTTATTGGGACAATGAGCAGGGAGGAGGCGATAAGATTGGTCAGCTGCTTAATTGATCACCAGTTCCCATTACTAACAGGCTTCAATTATGTCTAATCATAAAAACACTTGCGCCTGGGTCATGAATGCCCTCAGCAGCCCTTCTGGGCGGCAGACACAGTTTGTCAGTTTGCCAGCACCCTACTCTCATGAGAAACAGTTTGCTGCTTACTCACGTGGCTTCCAGTGGTATAGTGAGTTGATCACGACCCTCAATCTTCGGCCTCTAAGAGCCGCCGGCGGGGGTGGGGAGGTGCCAGCCTGCTGAGGCCTTTGGGTTCCTAGGCTTCTGGCATTTTAAAACCACCACTGCATTCCACCTCCCCTTGGATAACACCCTGAAACAGGCCAAGAAGAAATACAGGGGGAAAAATTACCTGCTGTTGTATATTTCTATTTCAAATGAATACTAGCTGAACATTTACTAAATAACATTGTTAGGTATCAGCAAAAGCGGGCTTATAATAGTTGGGTGAGGACAGGGGAAAGACTTTGAAATGGGCAGAAAAGATTACTGGATGTCCTGCAGGTTCAGTGTGCTTTGGCCTATTTTTCAACTGTGTAAATTTTCGCCGCCGCCGCCTATTTTTCAACTGTCTAAATTTTCACCGCCAAAGCCGCCACCAAAGTCGCCAAAGCCGCCAAAACCGCCGCCGCCACAGCCTTCTCAAAAGCCGCCGCCAAAGCCGCAGCCGCCAAAGCCGCTGCCAAAGCTGCCGCGGCCGCCGCCGCCGCCTCCTCCTCCTCGTCCTCCTCCTCTCTCTCCTCCCTCTCCTCCTCCTTCCTTCTAGTAAGCTTACTGGAGAGAAACTTGAACATTTTCAAAAAGGGTTAACGCAAATGATTCTTTCCAAAGAAATAGAAATAATAGAAGTGTGACGGGGCGTGGGAAGGGGTTGAGATGTGCCCGTTCAGGCCCGGGGCACTGGCGAGGGTGTGCGTGTGAGTGGGGGGTGGGGGCGTTAACGGTTTTTTCTCCCCACAATGGAAGAGAAATAGTAAATTCTCCTGGGGGCGGCGAATCAGGTGGGAAGGTGGAGCCAACGCTCCTTGCAAACTGTCGGGGGAGCCAGGGGTTGGTAGCAGGGAAGACTGTTCGGTGGTGACCCTGGGGGAGGAGGAGGGAGCGGGGAGCGGGGGCAGCCCCGGGGGAGGAATGGGAGAGGGAGGAGGACGCGAGGGGCACAGGGACAGCCTCCGGGGCGGGGCGCGGTGCCACCCGAGCCCGAGGATGGAGGCTGAAGCCGCCCGCGAAGCTGCAGGTAAGGGGAGCCGCTCTGGCCCGGCCCAGGGCAGTCCGCCTCCCTCCCCGCGCGCCGCAACAGCTCCTCCCCGCGTCTCGGGTTTCAATGGCTCAGCCTGCCCGAAACCTGGGCCCCCGCGCTGCTAGAGGATCCCGTAAACAGCGCGCAGCGGCCAGGGAAACTTTCCCCTTAGCCGGCGCCAGGGTGCCGCGAGCAGCGCACCTGTTGTTGCCCCGGGACTGAACTGCAGCGGCGGGCCGGCGGGCGGGGCTCCTGGACGTCTAGAGCGGGGCCGGCTGGGCTCCCGCACTCACCCTCGGGAGGGTTTCAGTCCCTTCCGGGAAAAAGGGGGAAGAAATGCTCGGGGGAGCCAGAAGAGGCACTGCCAGCATCAATTCCACGCGCGCCCCGGCCTCGGTCACGGCTTGTCCCGGAGGTCCCCCAGCGACACCGCGCGCAGGGACTGACCTGGGCTTGCTTCCCAGGCGCGGCAGCGTGGGCAAGGCCCGGCCTTCCCAGGGCCTCCGCTGTCTTGTCTGTGAAATGGGAACCGCACAGTGGGGGAGAATTCTTTATGGTACCTCTGGTTACTGCTAGCGCCCTTCCGCCCCCGCCACCCTCCCTGGGCCGGGACGCCTCGGCTGTGGTTGGGGGCGGGGAATTGGAGTGGGTCGGGGTCGCAGGAGCCCGGGCTTCGTGCCAGTTCTGGACCTGGAGCGCGCGCGTCCCCGAGCCTGTCGCTTCCCGGGCCCCAGGGGGTGCCATGCTTGGCCCGTCTCTCCAGAAAACCAGGCAGAGCTGGTGCACCATCTGAATCTGAAAGCACGTGAAATAAAACACCCCAAAGCCCACCAGCCCCTGAAATGCTGGGATAGGAGCAAGAGTAGGGCCCTTGGATGCTGAGAAAGTGCCTCTTTCCTTCCTGCTCCTTCCCTTCGCCTTGTGGGGACACGTGGCAGGACCGGTTGTGGGAGTGGGACCCGTTTCCGAGGGAAGGAGGGCGCGGTGACCGGCTGCTCCCGCCCCCTACACGTCCAGTCCGACCCATTAGGCGCCCTGGCCTCAGGTGGCCCGCCCGCCCCAGCAGCAGCTCAGCCGCATACTGGCCGCCTTCTCCCGCCACACGTCTTGGTAAGGGAACAAAAAATCTCATAAAGGCTCCTCTGCCTTTTCTTGGAAGGCAACTTCAGCGGCGAATTACGCTCTTTTATGACTTGCTCTAACAGCTGTGACTTTGAGTTGCTTTTCTCCTGATTTTAGGTGAGTTAAGGAGGGAAGGTAGCTATTAGCCAATTGTATGGATTACATTTTTTGTGGACGTTTTAGTTGGCCTAGAGATTGAGAAAGGGTTTTTTTCTTGTTTATTTGTGTGTTTGTTTTGAGACAGAGTCTCTGTCACCCAGGTTGGAGTGCAAAGGCGCAATCTCATCTCACTAAAACCTCCGGCCCACCCCTACCCCCTCCTGGGTTCAAGCAATTCTCCTGCCTCAGCCCCTCCAGTAGCTGCGACTACAGGCGCTAGCCACCATGCCCGGCTAATTTTTGTATTTTTAGTGGAGACGGGGTTTCACCATGTTGGCCAGGCTGATTTCGAACTCGTGACCTCAAGTGACCCGCCCACCTAGGCCTCACAAAGTGCTGGGATTATGGGCGTGAGCCACCATGCCCTGCCGAGAAAGGTTTTTTGTCTTTCGTTTTGGAAGGGGAGATACTATTTGTTTTTTGATTGTTTTCTCTGTGCTTCTTTCTAGAAAGCTGGGTTTCATGGTTGTGGATGGCAAGTACTGTTTCCAGTTTACACGTTGGAGAACTAGGGCAAGGAAAAAAAGTGATTTGCTCTTTGAATCTCATCTTTCTCATCTACAAAATGGAGGAGGTTTTGCCCACTTAGGGGTTTATTGTAGAGCAGTATTACACCAAGGTGCTCCCAGAAGCTCCTGCCTGCCCCTAGGCCTGTGAGTGATTTCATGAGTCCGAGGGTTCCTTCCAAGGATTGCTTTAGAGATCTGTCTTACTCTACCCAGTCTCCTTACCTTTTAATGGGAAAAGTAATGGTAATTTCATCTTCTGGAAAAGTATAGTTGGCTTAAAACGGTTTAAGGATTTTCCTGTATTTCTTTCAACTTTTGCTGTGGCTTTGATGGTCGCTGATGGCCAAGATGACACACAGCAGTTGCACATTAATAATTTCCACATGTACTAGATCCTAATGGATTGGAGTTTTGCATAGCTGAACCATTGCCTGAACTTTGGTAGCCTCTTTCCAAAAAGGGCTTGAGCAAATCATGTCTACTTGGGAATCTGATTTCCTGTAGCAAGGAAGCAGGAAACTAAGAATTAGGCTTGCAGGTAAGGCTGTATCCCAGGTTCCACTGAGCTCTAGTGCTGAAACACAGCGAGAAGGCCCACAACATCCCCCTGGGAGCTGTGCTCTGTCTGCATAAGTCTCCTCAATGTTGGTGTGTCTGGTTTTCAGGAGGCAGGTGTACTGTCTGAAGAGGCTTTGGAGATACCCCAAATAATTCAGGTCTTGACCTGCCCCAGGGCCACACACATGCGTATGCTCTCTCTGCTGTCTGTCTGTCTCTCTCTCTCTCTCTCTCTGGATTTCTCAGAGTGTGTATGTGTTTTTAATTTCCCCGGTGCTGCAGAGCTTCTTAGGTTCCACCAGACCATCTGTTGCTGTCATTTCAGCTTGGAGTGCAGTGGAAAGAAAAAAGAAAGACACAGCCCGATTCTGTTACCGCCCTCATCCTTTACCTTGGCCTTCCATCATCTATAAGAACTTAACCTGCCTTGTAAGGATTAGATGAGACTGTGTGCATAAGAACCAACCGCCAGGCCCATGGCAAAACTGAGAACAGATTGTGGAGAAAGCCATTTGTTCTGACCTCCTCCCTTCTGTTTACATACAAAACTGAAGCCTTTGTGAGAATTGTGTATGTTATGACTTTCATTTAGGAAGTCAGTTAAGTGTTTAAATTTGGAAAAGGGTGTTCTGACAATTTGCACTGGTGATAAAGCAGAGAGGGGCCTGTGCAGTGGCTCAAGCCTATAATCCCAGCACTTTGAGAGGCCAAAGTGGGCGGATCACCCACGTTAGGAGCTCGAGACCAGCCTGGCCAACATGGTAAAATCCTGTCTCTACTAAAAATACAAAAATTAACCGGGCTTAGTGGCGGGTACCTGTAATCCCAGGTACTTGGGAGGCTGAGGCAGGAGAATCGCTTGAACCTGGGAGGCAGAGGTTGCAGTGAGCCAAGATGGTGCCACTGCACTGTAGCCTGGGCGACAGAGCAAGACTCTGTCTCAAAAAAAAACAAAAAACAAAAAAAAACTGAGAGGGCTGGTAGACTAGAAAGATAGCAGGTGAGGGGGAAAATTGAGGGTGACTCAGAAGCTTGGGTTTGGGGGCAGGGAACAGGGACAGTGGTGACACCCATAGAGGAACTGGCTCTCAGCGGGGGAAATGGTGCAATAGAGACATGGTGATTTCAGAGCGTTTCGGGACATACCTCCCGTTGGAGATACCAAGAGTTGGGCGAAAACACTAACTCCAGAGCTTAGGGGGAATTTAAGTGCTAATTCTAGAAAAGCCAGTGCCTGCACCTGAGCTCTGAGGGACCCCCTGTTACTTAAGGGAGAGAGAACAGAGCAGATGGAACCCCTGGAAAGGCTGTCTTATCCCTTGGGGCGTGGGAGGAGGAGAGGAGCTGAGGACAGGGGCAGAAAGCTCAGAGAGTGAGAAGTGTTGAGGACCTGGTTTTGAGACAAGGCCCCAAAGGAGGAGAGACCAGAAAGGAAAGAGGCCAGAGGCAGGCCTGATGCTGAGGAAGACTGAGACACGTGCAGGTTTGGAGAGGCCCAGAAAAAGGATCAGGGAGGGGAGAGTTGGTATATCTCGGGACGTTAAACAGGGTTGGGCATAGCTGCCATTTCCAAAGGGTTTGCAGGAATAAGAAAAAGGAGGAGGCTGAGCTCGAAGTGATGTCAAGCATTAGGGAAGGTGGCTTTTCCTTTGTTTTTTTGGGTGGGGGAGGATTGAATACATTTTTAGTAAACTAACCTTTAGAAACAGTTTACTCTATGCCAGGTATGGTGCTAAACCCTTTCCTACATTACCTTAAATGATTTTAACAATAAATAGTATACATGGATCCAAAAGTTCCCCCTTATCCAGTATATTTTCCAAGACCCCCAGTAGGTGCCTGAAACTGAGGACAGGACTGAACCCTATATATACTATGCACGAATTTCTCTTTCCTTCTTCACAGACAGCTTCATGGATAGAAATTCGTTCTTACTGCAGATCTTAGCAAGCTCAGTATAGGATTATTTTTTTTCTTTCTTTCCTTACTAAATTGAGAACTTTCACCTTTTCACTTAAGAAAACACTTTACTAGCTGGGCATGGTGGCTCACGCCTGTAATCCCAGCACTTTGGGAGCCCGAGGTGGGCAGATCGCTTGAGCCCAGGAGTTCAAAACCAGCCTGGGCAACATGGCGAAACCCTGTCTCTACAAAAAATGCAAAAATTGGCCAGGTTTAGTGGCGCACACCTGTAGTCCCAGCTACTTGGGAGGCTGAGGTGGGAGAATCACCTGAGCCCAGGGAGGTTGAGGCTGCAGTGAGCTATGATGATGCCGTGGCACTCCAGCCTGGATGACAGAGACCTTGTCTCAAAAAATATATATATGTGTGTGTGTGTGTGTGTGTGTGTGTGTGTATGAAGGAAGGAAAGCAAGCAAGCAAGCACTTCACAGCATCTCTTTGGCATTTCTGAATTGCCAGCATCCCTACTTTTATGCTTTGAGGCCGTGATTAAGTAAAATAAGAATTACTTGAACACAAGCACTGCGACGTCAGGACAATTAATCTGATCATTGAGATGGCTCCTAACTGACTAATAGACAAGTAGCATTGACAGCGTGGATCCTTTGGACAAAGGGATGATTCATGCCTCTGGTTGGACAGATCCAGATGCCTCGAGATTTCATCATGCTGCTCAGAACAACATGCAATTAAAAACTTTCAAATTGTTCATTTCCAGAATTTTCCATTTAATATTTTCAGACTGTGGTGGTCTGCAAATAATTGAAGCCTTGGAAAGCAAAACTGAGGATAAGGGGAGACTACTGTACTGTTATTATCCTCATTTCACTGGTGAGGAAGCTGAGGCACACAGATGAAGTAACTTGCCTAAGGTCACCTGGATAGTAAGTGGCAGTGTGGCCATGGGGTTGGTGGCGGTTTGATTCCCAGAGAAAGGAATCTGTCATGAGGGTGAGGTTCAAAGTGGATGCTCCCTCCCCTCCAAAAAGTGGAGTCCCCTCTAAAAAAGTGGAGGCCTAGAAAGTAAATAATTTATGATTCAGTTTCTAAGGGGACTCCTTCAGAGATGACCTCATGTAGACATAAAATTTTTAAAAACCAGGGCAGGCACAGTGGCTCTTGCCTGTAATTCAAGCACTTTGGGAGGCTGAGGCGGGTGGATCACTTGAGGCCAAGAGTTCGAGACCAGCCTGGCCAACATGGTGAAACTCCATCTCTACCAAAAAAAATACAAAAAAAATAGCCAGGCATGATGGCTCATGCCTGTAATCTCACCTACTCGGGAGGCTGAGGCACAAGAATTG